TTTTATTGAGTCAATTTAATCCCTCCATTTAATGAGATTATGATTAAATGTCTTGCCATCGAAGAGTCTTTCAAAAGCCTCTCCTTAACTGTTTTTTGGAGGATTTGATGTTTAGACAGGGACTTTTAAAAGGATGAATATTTGTTCCCAGTAAAATGTCTAAATGGTACCTTTTCAGCAAGGACAGACTTAACTTAGTAATGACAGTGTACAAAGTGGAGCATTTTAAGTTTAATTTAGTTAACACTCAACGCGTCCACTTAAACCCATTTCTAATTGACAGATGATCATAAAAGTGGCTTCTTACCTATTAAGCTTCATAAAATTAAAAGCAAATGTCAAAAATTGTCTACTTTTAATTCTTATAACTTATCAACACTTATATACGTCAGTCTGAGATGTGCGATAGACTTACCTCCACGTGGTGCACCCTGGGCAACGTATTCTCATACGGCAAAAAAGTCTATTATCCGGCAGCTGACTTCTGACTTCAAACTACCATGACCCCACTGTATATCATATTCCACCACTTCCACAGTTCTCATCTTACCTTTTCTCTGCCTTTGTGTCTGTCTGTCCCTTCAACATCTATGAATCACTCTTTTGTTCCCCTTCTCGTTTTTTCCTCACTTTGATGTTTCTCCATCTGTGAAGCCCGAAGTCAGCTAAAGAGCTAATGGTAACTATTCAAAACGCCTGATGTTTGAAATAATAATAATAATATACGTCAATCTATTGTACTATTTTGGTTTTGGCCGCTAGTTTATTGTGCAGTTTAAAAAATCGGAACGTATTCGATATAAAGAAGGTTGATTTAATTTATGCGGCAACTTTTTATTCGTTGAAAAAAAAGCTCATATATTTACTTTTTTTTCCCATTTAATTGGTGTTTGGCCTTAAAGCGTATTCTTACCAATGTCAGTTTTGTCACGACTAACTGTCTAAATGTCAAGAGAAGTGCAGACCACCATCATGGTAAAAATGGTAGACAGCCTGGAATGTAAATTGTTCATTCTAAGATAAAATGCAGATTCAGCCCAACTTGACCCATACCTATGGCGTTCTCTGGAATTTGCACTAAGTTGTTCTTTACCATTGGTTCAAAATAATTAATTAAAAGCGCATAATAAAGTTAAATTTCATAAGGTGCTGTGATTTGGAGCATCTCCCGAGAGTGTTTTAAAGTCCCACGACATATCTAAAGAAAATAGAGTACGAAGCCACCAATATTCTTATCGATCGATTAAAACTCAAGGTTATAGAAAATAAAATTTGTTAAAATTTAATGATTCCCAAAACCGGAAGCAACCACAGTAGTTTTTAGCAACTACAGGTCAAACTCAAAAAAATTATATCAAAATATCCGATTATCATAATGGGATAAAAACATAATTTTTGTTTAATTGAATTATTCCGTTGATTTAATGGCAATTAACGCAGCCAAAATACTTGGCCTTAAATGCAAAACAGAAGGTAAAGAAAAGAACTAAATTTTAGATAATAGGGAGATTAAATAAGAATGGAATACAAGTGGAACTTCAAGCTGTCCAACTAGAGAACTGGTAATAACTCAGCATAGTATCTACCACTCTTCGTAAATACTTGAAGGTTTGGTTGTGGCTAAGTTGAAACTATTTTAATCAAATGGATCCTTTTGGTAAATGCTTACCTTGATTCAAGTAGAATTCTGTTGAGTTAAACAACGTGTCATCATATCAACATTTTAGCACATTTGTGCGATCTACGATGTTTGTGTTTCGAAATCTTAGTTAATACTCCCACAAATACGGGATTTTAATGGAAATATTTAATGAAAATTGAACTAAAGTATGTGATAGTTATTTGTACTGATATTTTCACCCCAGGTCAACGCAGTTTGCTGAGTTTTACAAACTAAAATGTTGACCCATCTCAAATTTATCATACTGGAATGGGAAACTGGAGAATGTCATACAAGTTTTTTTGACATTCTCAGGCAAACAAAGAGAAAAAAAATTATTTAAAACGTCAAGGCTTGTTTTTCTTGGTTAAGCAATAATAATGATAACCAACTATTTATTTATTTCAAATGGCATGCATATTGACAGTCATCATTAGTCCTTTAGCTGACTTCGGACTTCACAGAGGGATGGGGAGAGATCATAGTGAAGAAAGAAGAGTGATGTAAAGTGAAAGATAGTCACATAGGCAGAGAAAAGGTAAGATGAATGCTGTTGAAGTGGTCAAATTTAACATACAGTGGAGTCATGGCAGTTTTAAGTCAGAAGTCAACTGCCGAATAATAAACTTTTGCCGTATGAGTATACGTTGCCAAGAATGCACCACGTGGAGGTTAGTCTATCGCACACCCCATAATAACCAATTATTATTTGTTTAATGCTCTCTGCTTCCCATTTTAAAAATTAGTATTCTTTTAATCTCTGTGGCTAATTATGATATTGTTGAAATTGGCAAATAAGTTCGAACTGAGCTTTCCATGTCACATGACTCCACTCTTCCTTACGTGATTGAACTGCTGTCCACATTAATGACTTCAATAGAGAAAGAAGGATACAATGTTTCCAGCTTACTATCAAAGTACATTAACCAAGGCAGAAACCTCGTGACATATAGCCTCGAATAAAAGAGCTTTTCCAAGTCCCTAGATCATTCGGCACATGAAGGTATGTCAGACGCTTCCTAGGTTATCTTTAAATATTTGAGTGGTGTTTATTAGTAAATACTTCGGCAACTCAAAATGGGAGCAACTTTTTCTTCCACCTGAAAACAGACAGATGTAGTTACTTACAGTCCTTTATATTTGATTCGTGTATTTCATCTTGAAGTCTACCAGTCAACAACTCAGTGTATGACCCATATCTGGGTTACGTTAAAATTTTCTCATATGGGGTGTGCGATAGACTTACCTCCACGCGGTACACCCCGGGCAACATATTCTCATAAAGCAAAAAGTCTATAAACCGACAGTCGACTTCTGACTTCAAACTACCATGATCCCACTGTATGTCTTATTCGACCACTTTCACAGTACTCACCTTATCTCTGCCTTTGTGTCTGTTTGTCTCTTTTATATCTTTGAATCATTTCTCTGTCTCCCCCCCCCCCTCTCCACTTTTTCTCACTTTAATGTTCCTCCTTGCCTCTGTGCAGCCCGAACTCAGCTAAAGGGCAAATGATAAGTATCATAAAGCCCGCCATTTGAAATAAATATATGTTCTCATATTCTACAATATAGCACAGTGCATAGAATGTACAAATTTAAATTGTCGAATAGCGTCTGAAAGCTCAAAGTGGCAAACGGTCAGTTAGATGTGAAATCAATTCTGCAATTGAGATCAGGTGACTCATTTTATTTGAATGGAGAGGGAATTGGGTTGTCTGCTGTCTTTTAGGCTCGTAACTTGTATTATAGGATCCAAATTCCAATAGGGTTCAAATTATACGAGTCAGACTCCCGGCATTCAGGACTTGATGACAGTTACTTCGATTAAACAGATGGTCATTGAATAGTGACTAAGTTGTGACTTCTTATAGACGCAGCCCCCATTGTCTAGGCCACGCCATTCCCTTAAATCCTCAATCAACCTCTCACAGCCTAGCATTATTAATAAGTGAGGTGAACTAAAATCAAATGCTAATCCCAGCCAGTTAATTGAATTGGGAAATTGTCGTCAGAATGTTATGGGAAATGCTTATTTTTACTTGTAGCCTAATATTCCCTTGGGAATTATCATGTCTAGATGAGTGACTTTTCAATCAATCATTTATAAATTAAGAAAGTTCTTTTGATAGCAGAAGAAGCACTACTCCATTTCGATGCATTCCAATTTCTAGCACATACTCCTGCCTACTTTCCAACACTTACTTCCAGCCTATTGGCTGTTCACGATAATAACAAATTGTCATGCATTGTACAATACGATGAGCTGCGCTTCAATTGCAAAAATTATGGAAAGAAAAGTCCCTTTTATTTATAGGAAGTATTCAATATGTCATGTTTGATAATACGAATCTCGCGATAAAGGCCCATTAGACTAGAATAGTGATTGCCAACTATTTACTGCGAGTATTCTTCTTTATTCAAAAAGATGCAAGGTATTGTGGTAGGGGTGTTTGCAATGTTATCGCCTACCTTTATCCAGTGTCGTAACTACTTTTTACACCAATTTGAGTTTTATTAGACAAAAATTTTGACAATTTTTATTCATGTCAAGAAGCATACTTTTGCTAATGGCCAAATAGACATTATTGGTTGGTGAAAACAAATTCCCATGCCTAATTAGGGAACCGTTTCCCAGCATTCATCATTAAGGCTGCCAGGGGTGAAACTCGAATTCTGAGATGTGGTGGGCCACTCCACTCACAGAGTACGCCCCGATGGGTGGTGAAACCATGGTCTCTCATTTCGTTTCCTCAGTGAGCAAAGAAACGTGATTTCCGATCACGGATATGCAATTCAACCAAGAACATCTCGTCAGCTTCTGCCTGATTCACTTCAATTACAGCATCATTGCCATTAACATTGTTTCTTATTATTAAGGCTGTCTGTCATTAAGCAAATTAATACTCCCTCCATATTCAATTTAATTCATAAAAATACGCATGAGCGATTCCACGCAAATATTTTCATTTTGTCTAAAGGCACTGTTCAATTACGATTTCAAAATTAAAAATTAGACGCCTGGATTGAGACAGTGTCTGTTGTCTGGTATTTTTGACCTCTCTCCATATTTACTTTTGTCTAAATTTACTCAAACACGTTCAACAGAAGGGCTTTTAAGCTCGCAAAAACAGCAAAAGTATCACATTAATCCACTAAACTTAAGAATGAAGGTTCAGCCCTCATCATACCCCCACTTGAAAATGGATCCAATATTGTTGAAAAATCGGCTGATTAGCAGTGGGTGAGAGAATGTGGGACTTTAGGAGTTAGCCAAGTAAAGGCAAACAGATACACCGAAATGAACTGCATTTGGCATTACCAATTTAATCCGACTAGCTTAAATACACAGATTACTGAGAAGATGAAATAGCGGTCTTATCAACTGCATAAACAAAACCATCACGAAAATAGAACAGGATGGTGACCAAATGCATTCATAGGAAAGAATGGAGAGAAGAAACTGTTCGACCAGAAAGATGAAAGTGAATTATTCCAGGAGGTGGTGGTGGTGGTGGTGGTGGTAGTGGTGGTGGTGGTGGTGGTGGTGGT